GAGTGAATAAATACACCTCATTTATATGTATATATACACACATCACACATACACCCTTCCACTCTTTCCTCTCAGGCATACACGGCTAAAGTACTACTTCAGAAACCACTACTCTTTTTCTGTGTACCTTAGAGGACAAAGTTTATCCAGTGTCAATTAATGTTTTAAGTCTTGGTGCCTCCTATAGGAGACTGCCTGGGTTCAAATCCAGGTTCCATCACTAAGCAGCCACGTAATCTTTAATCAGTTCCTTAACTTCTGTGTGCCTCAGTAGTCTCCTCTGTAAAATGGGAGAACTTTCCTCATAGCATTGTTTATAATATTAAATGAGTTAATATATATCAAATGATTAGAAGCCTAAATGCTCAATGAGTACAGGAATTTTTGTCTGTTTTATTTACTGCCACATCCCTAGCTCCTAGAAGAGTGTTTGGTACATAGTAGATGCTCCAACAAATATCTATAATATCTATGTAATGAATGACCAATGTCCGGATAATTAAAATCTAATAACTGTTGGCTACTATTTTATGTATGATACAAAAGTTCTCAATTCCCATTTTAATCATTTCCCATCCCCCAATGACTGCAAATTTCACCTTGGGAGTCATGGCATTTTCCTATAATGACACAAGGTGGCAGCATCAGTCTCCTTTTGAGATACGAGTCAAGCTCCAGTTTAACCAGTTCTAGAGATTCTCTGCAGCATCCATTTGCAAGTTTCTCCAGCCATTCCAGATTCTGTATTTTTTCTTCTTTTTTTTAATGAAAAATATTAACTGTTTGAATTGTCTTAAGCTTACCTCTTAACTCCTCTAATTTCTAGCAAAAGAAAAGATTGTAGAAAGGTAAAATTGTTGAGATGAATCCAAGACTACTTTACAGTACCACCACTGTTTTGTGTTCTGAAAGCTCCCTTTTTGTAACAAAAAACTGTTTGACAAATCATAAATCCAAATCTCCTGCTTCAGAGACACAAGGTGCAACAATGTTGTTCCCTTCCAAGCCTGTAAGAAACAACAAAACAAAATATAACTTCTCTGTCTCTTACTAAAGACAGAGAAGTTGTATTTTGTTGCACCTTTGAGAGTGAGACTTTGTGGGGTAAAGAAAAAAAAATATATTATTTTAGAAATGAAGAGACCTGGACTATAGTGGTGATATAGGAATCTCTTTACCCCCAGCCTTAAGCAAATCTCTTATCTTTGCAAGATTCACTTTCCTTATTTCTAAAACAAGGATAATAATAATCTCTGCCTAACCTTTTTGGAAATTAGATCAGTGAATGTAAATGGCATTATAAACTGTAAAGGTTATAACTGTATTATAAATATTAAAATTCTAAAACATCATACATTTTACCGTGCATGAGCTAATGTTAGAATCATTTCCATTTTACATATGGAGAAACCAGTTCTATCCAGTTAAATGGGCTTGCCTGAGTTTTCTCATCGGTGAAATGGGACTAATGATAGCAACCCCACCTACTTCAGTGAGCTGTGAGGATAAAATAAGATAATAGACGTGAAAGTGCTCTTACAATGAAAGCACTCTCACTTGAACAAGATATTTAGCTTAAGCAAATAGCTTTTCTTGGATTTCACAACATTCCTGACGAAAACAATATATAACTAAATTGTCTACGAAAATAAGCATTTTGATTTACTACCTTCAGAAACCTGAAGAAATTGCGCATTTAAAAAAGATAGTTAGGGACAGAGAAGCTGACGGTGTTATTTCATGTGTAGAAGGGTGGCTACAGTGAAATGGTATATTCAGAGATGGTACTCGATAAATGCTTTCTGAAAAGCCGTATTTACGTATATTGTAGAAATAAAGTGTTCCTTTAAAATATTAACATTCTACTAATGTTTGTTGACTGCTTATTGTGTACCAGGAATTTTAAAATATATTATTTCATTTTATATATTTTTTAATTTTCCCCAGAACTATAGAAAAATGTCAGCTGCATTTAAAAAGTTAAGGAAACTGAGGTTCAGAGAGGTTACTCGGGTTGCCTCAGGTCAAACAGCAGATTCAGGATTTTCTGACCTCAAATCCTCTACTCCTTCCCGCCTTTTCTCAAGAGTGTTTCTGTGGACACCTCCCTTCAGTCCTGTGGAAGCACTCATGATATCGAATCCAACATTGACAGCAGCAAGTCAGCTATTTTGTTAAAAACCGGAGGTGGGATGTTAATGTAAGTTTTGAAGAACTTGAATAAATGGGTACTACTTAGCCAATATTTCTGTATCTTCGTAAATTAATTTCAATGGCCTAAGAAATTTGAGCTCTGACCTTTTGACTACACAACTTTATATAAAAGGACTCAGCTACTTTTCCCTTAAATATTTCTAGAGTCAATTCATACCTTTTCTAAAATAAAGATGATTAATTATTAAATGCTAGGGAGTTAAAAAGAGAGAGAACGAAAATTATGAGGTAACAAGAGATCTTAGAAATGAAGTCCATTTAAATCTCTTGGGAGGTATCAGTTATTCAAGAATGATGTGCTGTTGTTGCCACACATAATAAGTTAATCTTAAAAAGGCATTTATCCCTGCTGATGTTATAGTTTTCGAGCAGACTAGTTTAATCAACGGAATGTCATTTTAATGTGTGAATTTTGGTAAGCTATGTTTACCAGGAATTCTAATTACTTAATTACTTTGAAATGACACCATTCTAAGCTCTCGAGTCTGTTCCATTGCATTTTATTTGATGGTAAGATTGTTCAACTTTAGCAATTAAAACCAAGAGGCCTTAAAATGTATGTATCTGGTTAGGCAGTGTTATTTCCCATTATCTAAAGAATGATATTGACACTGTATTTTATGACTAGTTGAAGTCCATTTTAACAAGTATTTCTAATGTTCTGTTCCCTTGAAGAGTTATCCAAATATAATACTTGTTTGCATAGAACTACATGTACCAATTAACACTATGATCTTTTAGTTATGAAAAAAATAGCCCACAGAGCCTTATAAATGGACATATAAAACCCTTATTTAAACATCCATTGGCTTTCCCTTTTATCTGCTTTTGGAATAACAGATTTTTATCCTTCTTAATAGGTAGTTGAGTTTAATCCAGAGAATCTTAAAGAAAAATAGTTTCTGAGTGTTCAATCTGGTGCCAGCTAAAGTTAACAATCTTATCCAGTAACCTTAAAAAAAAAAAACAAACAATGATTGCTGAGTTATGATATCATTTAACTATGGTAAAAGTCTGACTTTTAAAAACATGTTTATTCTTAAATTAATAATTTCACAGATAAGGAAAAGCAGACAGGAAACATAAATATAAAGGGGGTAACTATAACATTTATTTAGTCCCTCTCTTTGACTTTGGATCTTACCACTATTTCTTAGGGCATCAAAGTCGAGCCTCTTCCCTCATGGAGCTAACCATCTTTGAGAGATAAATGACAACCACTTGTGAAAGGTGAAATAAGACAGGGTGGTATACAGTGGAATATAAGTGGCTAACCTGAGTGGCACAGATGCTCAAAGACTTTTGGAGCTCAAAGGAGCCAAAGATCAGAGAGGGCTACAGTTTTGAGGAAGCTTGCAGTTATTTTCAGATTGGAGTTCCAAAGCCATGGGTGGGTGATTTAGAATTTCAAGGGTGATTATAATTACAAAAAGGGTTGGGTGGACAAGGAAAAAATACTGGAAGCCTGAATTCCTTTAAGAATGCAAAATAATTATGGCACAGAGACGGTATTTCTCACTGAAAAGCTATCTGACGTATCAGTCTTCTTAGTTACCTTGGTTTTCACCTGTTGCTATTTGAATAGAGAGTGCTGCTGTGTTTGATTGGCAGCTGCTCGCATGAGCTCCAAAACTGCTTTGGAGAGTCAGCTACTCTTGCTTCCAGAAGAGAGCAATTTTGCCAGCCCCATTTGCCAACCAGTCCTAACTTGATCTCAATCCAGCGGACACCAAAACTTGTGTTAGGCACTAGAGGGATGCTGTGGAGCGGATAATCTATACAGCTGACTAGTTACTGCTAACTATGACACCAAATCAGACTGAGATAAGTGTTACAAGAGTGTTATAAACAAAGTGTTGAGCGTGAAGTTAATTCTGTGCAGGGGTCAAGAAAGGGCTCACAGAGGAGGTGACGTTTCAAGGCCAGGAAAGCTAGCTAGAGAAGGGAAGGAGAGCACGGCTGTGGAGTGTGAGAGGACTGTCTAAGGAAGAGCCAGTGGTTGACACGGTGGCTGCACTCAGGGTTGTCGGACTCCACAACAAGTCAGTGTAAGAAAAAACACCATCCATACAATGTAGCAAAAAGCTACAACGATTTCCATTTCTAGATGCACAAAAAGACTCATCTGGAAGAAATGTCCACTTATTGTTCACTGTATGCCCAGCTCCATGCTAGGCACTATAGAAGATAAGAAAAGGCCCTTGCCCTGGAAGTGTTTATTCTCTATCTAGAAGAAAGATTAACTTGCAAAATGATTAAAAGTATGACAGTCTCTAAAGGAAAAGCTTTGGATTGCCCGAAACTCAAGCAGGAGGGCATTCCTGCTGCTTCAGAATTCCCCATAGGGGTACAGGTACTTTGAGGCCTGCAGACAGGTTGGACGACTTGGGACTCCCTCACTCCAGAATCAGGGATGAGGGCAATAGCTAACCCTTAGAGATCATTTCCTATGTCCTGGGCACTGTTCTAGCAGCTTACCTGGATTAATTAAATCTTCCCAATTACCCATTTAGGAGAAAAAGTTATTATCTCTAGTTTACAGATGGGGAAACTGAGGCACGGAGACACAGCTAGAATTCAAATCCAGGGGATGTGGCGCCAGAGTTGTGCAGTCTTTTTCATTTTAGTATGCTCAGAACTTAGCACAGTACCCAGTGGTGGGTGTTAAGATCTTTTAAAAGCCAGTTTTCCTTGAAAATTGTATTTTCTGGATAATAAAATGAAAGTCACAATACACATTTGTAATCCCCACATTTGTAAGGGAGAAGATATGCATTTTAGCTGTACAACCCCAACTTGTGCCAGACCCCAGGCCAGCAAGAAAATGCTTCTCTTTATTTATATATATATTTTTTCCTTTCTGGACAATTTGGTGTTTCTGAACGCTAGGGGCTCCCGGATTCTCTGGTTTGAGAGTAACTTTTCCTTTTAGGATTTTTTTTTTTTTTTTTTTGGAAAGGGGGTGGGGAAATGTGGCCTCAATTATCCTACGTCTTAGGCAGCTTAAGAAAGGGGCTGTGCTTTCGGAATCCCATCCGGAGCCAAGTAAGGAGGGCCCTCGCCCTCCCTCCCTCTCGCTCGCTCTCTCTTTTTAAAGGATCTCGTGTAATAAAAGTGCAGAAAACAAACCCGGGCGATCACAGCAGCAGCCGCCGCGGCAGCAGCAGCAACAGCAGCAGGAGGAGGAGGCGGCGGCGGCGAAGTTGGAGTCGGGGCAGCGCTCCGCAGTCGCTGGAGCTCCATTCATTAAGTAGCCAGCCGCGGAGGAAGGCGGCCGGGCGCCCGCTCTCTCGCTCCCGCACACAGGCGCGCGCCAGCCCGGCGCGTCCCGAGCCGCGCCGCTCTGCAAAAGTTTCTGCTCGGGGTTTGGCTCTCTTCCCCGCGGACTTTCGAGCGAGTTGGGGTTGAGAGAGAGAGGAGAGCAGCGGCGCGCAGGGGGAAGCAGAAAACACCGTCTGCAGTCGGAAGCAGGCAGCCGGGGCTGCACTCTCGCCGCGCCGCCCCGAGCCCGGAGCCGGGGGCCGACCCGCCGCTCTCCGGAGTAGCCTCGGCCGCGAGGCGACCCGGGCGTCTGGGTGTGTGGCTGCTGTCGCCGGGCGTCTTCGGGAGCGCGGGAGGCTCGCGCCGCGGCCAGCGCCATGCAAAACTACAAGTACGACAAGGCGATCGTCCCGGAGAGCAAGAACGGCGGCAGCTCGGCGCTCAACAACAACCCGAGGAAGAGCGGCAGCAAGCGGGTGCTGCTCATCTGCCTCGACCTCTTCTGCCTCTTCATGGGTGAGCCCAGCCCCGCGGCCGCGCGGCCCTCGGCGCGCGCCCCAGCCGGGCCCCGGGCCGCGCCGCGCTGTCAGCTCCGGGGGCCCCCGCTGCCTTCCCGGGGAGCCTGCTCGCGCGCCGCCCGCGCCCCGGGGCCCCCGCCCTCCCCGATCCCACCGACTTCCCGGCCTGCAAAGGAGTGTGTGCGGGCGTGCTTGTGCGTTTGCAGGCAGCTGTAAACCAGCTCCTTGGAAGTCCTCTCCAGCTGGAAGCCCGGGCAGGGACCTCACGGAGGGTGTGGGTTCGCTCGTGTAGCACGGGGCAAGTTGGTTGGACCGAGATCTAGCGCCAGCGTAGAGCTAGCTGGTCGCCCTCCATCCTAGTCGAATGGATCTCCCGGAGAGCCCGGCTCCTGCCTGGAGCCGAGCTATCTTCCCCTGGCTGTATGTAAACATCCAACCCTTCCGCCTTTGCCGCCTGGCCTGGCCAGGCTTGGCAAGCCGGTCTTTTCACTTGCTTCTCTCCTGAGGTGCTCTCCCCGGGCTTGGTGCGGGGCAGGGGTTCAGCAGTCACTTCCTGAGTGCCTACTGTGTGCCAGGTGGCAGGCGGTTTCCCGGGCATCAGTTGTAACTTGCCCTCTCCCTGATTGGGTGCAGTAGGGGCGAGGAGCCCCATTTCACCGGTGAGCACACTGAGGCACTACTAGGACAGCAAGTCACGATCTTGTTTGGGGACCACAATTTAATTGCACTCGCAGAAAGTTGAGTCTGTTTGCCAAAGATAGAAGCCACAGCTAGAAGAACGGTGGGAGTGAAAGGAATTGGAGTGGGAGGGTGAGGAGGATTTATGAACTCAGTAGGGGGAGGGAGAAAGCTATTGACACGCATGTACAGGAGTTCCAAGGTTGAAGTCAGCATAGAATTTTTTTTTTAAGCGAATCATGGTGTAATGGAAAGTGCAGAGTACTTGTCATCAGAACACTGCCACTCTACCACTTGCTGGGTGTGCCACCTAACTGCCGCACTGGCCTCAGTTTCCTCAGCAGTTGAATGAGTATGTTGAAGTAGATGCTCTCCAAGGCCCCTTCCTGCATTAAGAACTCGGACTTGGTCCAGGAGCTGTTCTGCCAGCTCTGCTAACTGAAGAAACATCTGTGTTCCCAATTCAGTTCCCTTAAAATAGAACTCCTGCATGGAGACTTAAGTCCCCTTTGAAATGGATTTGTCCATGCAGACTGTGCAAACCAGAGACTTCTTAGGCTGGAGTTATACTTCCAATGGTGTCCATGACTCTCTGTACCGTGTCCCTATTGTACGGTGTCCTCTTGACCGGCCATAGTAAATATGAGAGTGGAAGAAAAGTGGGAGCCTTAGAATTTAAAAATAAGAATGGCCCCCTTCAGATGAGGAGAGACAGCTGAAGGTGAAATTGTGGTCTGTGCAGGGAAGAAAGGTCCCTGCAGTTTAGGTGGCCTATCCCATTTCCACCTCTCTTAATATTAATTTGACATTAAGATGCTGTGTAAAGAATCGTCACTGGGTGATCTGCCTTCCTGAAGGCAGCTGGCTTATTATCATGCACAGTGGGACGGATTAGTACCTAAAGTCTTGTAACCAAGCTATTGAATTTTTAAAAGACCCTCCCTGGTCCAGGGAGAATACAGGGAAGCACTAAACACATTGAAGTTGTTTGCTATAAACTCACCTGGGGCTTTCCAGTGTTTGGAGTGCGTTTTGTTGGTGGTAGGGTAAGAGCTTTCCAGACTGCCAGGGCAGGGTACCCTCCTACCTCCTACTTTGTGATTAGGAAAGCAGAGCTCAAGCATGCTTGACAGCCTTTGTACAATTTCCCTTCCACTCTGTGATTTCGGAAGGCAGTCCCAAGAGATAGTTTATTCTTATTAAGGAAAAAAGAAAAGCAGTGTAAAGGAATTTGTCAAAAGACACACCCACCAGCTGTAGTTTAGTCAGGGACATAGAAACCCCAAGGTACTCTGTATTGTGCACTGAAAGTGTAGGTAAGGGGGGTGTGTGTGCACATTTGCCCCAACTATCCCCATGTCTCCTCAAGCTAAGATTCTAAACCTATCTGTTTATTGTGTTTATTCACTGTTGGTCTTATGTTACAAAAGCAGTAAGGTATCAGAACTGGAGACCATGTATTTTATCATAAGAGGCACATAGCTCCCTGTTTTAAGGAGACATTATGGCAACAAAGTCATTTTCAAAGTGACTTATTGATCAGTGTCTCCCCAAAGCACAGGCCAAATGATAGTATCACTAATTAAATGCCTCTCTAATGCCTTTAATAGGAAAATCTGTTTGTAAGATAAATATTACTTGAGATATTTATGCTGGAGAACTCTATTTGGCTTCCAAAAGAAAAATTAATATCACGACATGTGATTTTAATATTCCACACACCACAGTTCTAAAAAAAAGTTGTTTCTACTTAGTTCACTTTTTGCCTAAGACTGTCAGTATGATTTAATTTTTATATAGTTTATTGATCATATGGTCTGGATTACAGGGCACTAATATATTGAAAAGAAAGACAGTTTTCTGTTTATTCTCCCATAGGAATATATACCAAGCTTCATCTCCTAGTATCTGGAAAAAATAAAAGCTGATGTGCTATGTAAGTGTTATGTAAGTGGAAATATGCAAGTAGTTTAACTTGTTTCACATACCTTTTCGGAATGTTAAATTCTTGGTGAAAAAACAAAAGTCCACTCTTGTTTGAAGACCAAAAGAATCTGGTGTCAGATAACACCAGTGGGAGTTTATCTCCCATTGAACAGCTAGCTATCTTTGCTGGATAATTGCTTTTAAATAGTTAAGAATCTTTGCATGATAGTTTTTCTGAAATTGATTTTGTTTTCATTTCAATTAAGTAATATTTATTACCTCCTGTTTTTTTGTGCATTGGTCAATATGAATTGATCTGCAATTCTCAGTTCAAGTTGAGTGGAGTCCTTTCCCCCTCTGAAGACTCTTGAAACTCAGATTTACATCAGAAAATCCTGAAGCTCAGTTTGCAGAAAGTCCTGCCTCTCCACATTTCCCAGTTATACATATGCATCAAAACAGATGAATAAAGGTGGTCCAAGACTTCTGGTTAGTAATGTAGAATTTAGGTGGTCAGAAATGCTATTTAATTTGGTTGTTCCAGAATGTTTTGGGACATTTTTGATTTGCAATTAAATAGTGGAGATAAAACTCTAGAACAGGTTCCATATATGGGATAGAGTTGTCACGTATTATTATTAAACTCTACTTTCAATAGTGAGATGGAACAATGTGGTATAGTGAATAGAAAGAGAGACTTGGAGTTAGAAGCTTTGAGTTCCAGGTTGGCCAATGCCACTATCTAATTGGCGTGGTTATGGACAAGTGGGTTTTCTGTGGGTCTTGGTTTTGTTTTTTTTTCCCCTCTGCAAGATGACTAGTTGGATGGGATTATGCCTAATGTCCAAGGTCACCATCAACCTTACTGTGACCAATTTCTAGTAGGAAGAAAAGACACATTTGTTAAATGTCTGCCTCATGCATCCACTCTGCTGGGCTCTTCAACATACATTCGCTCTGTGAATCATCACAAAAATGACCAGCCTAGAGACATGAGTTCTGGTCTTGTGCTGCCACTATGATGTTGTGCAACTTTGGAAAAATTCACTTGCATTCTCTGGGCTTCAGTTTCTTTGTTACTGCAATGAAGGGAAGAGATGAGACTCTAGATCATCTCTCAGACTCCTAGCTATAACAGTTTTATGAGGCTAGGCTGGTAAATCGTGTGATGTAGAAACCTAGTCACTGCTTCTCTTGCACCCATTAATTGAATCGTTATATGTTTGACCACAGAATTAATGCTGAAAATTAGATTAAGTTGTTGTTAATTCTGGAGGGAAGGTAAGCACTGCTTCTACTAGAGTTAATCCAATATGCTGAGAAACTGGCTAGATTTTTCCATTGCCAGATGTGTCCTTTTACCTGCTTCCTGAAATTTGTAATAATCAAAAACAAACAAGTAAGCAAGCACAAGGCGTGACTTTTCCTCTCTCTTTTTTTTTTTTTTTTGCTCAGTTATGGTATTCTGTAAGTATGTTTGTAATAACTCAATAGCTTTGATAATTCACCAGAACCACAGAGTATAGAAACATATTTTCATTGAACAACTGGTGAACTGCTCAGCCAAGAATCCTTCATAGATTGCCATAAAGTAGGGAGCCTCCATTTAGTAGGTAAGCCCTGTAGACTTTTCTCAGTGGTTGAAAACCTCTATTTCCTCATTGTCCAAAATGGCTAGTTTTGTTTGTTTTTTTTCTCTCTCTTAGCTGTTTTTTCTTTCTTCCTTAACTTTCTCTTATACTTAAGACATATTCCACAGGGGTAGCTGCCTTTGGGGGAGACTGGTAAGGTCAGAGTTGGTGGCCTTTTCTACTTGTGTAGCCCTTTTGATTACCTGTCAACTTTAGATTCTTTCTTTGCCCCTTCCTATGCAGTTGTTTGGGGCAGTCACAGCGTGATGCCAGTGAGACCAAAGTCAAGGAATTCCTCCTGTGTGGGTGGTTATTTTTATGGGGAAACCTACCCTATGTGCCAATACAGTATACATTATGTGAGGGGTAATATTATTATTATTTTGGGAATGCCTACTATGTCAGTATTTCATAAACTAACCTAATAAGGAACCCATCTGGTAGGAAATACAGATTCTCAGACTCCTTCCTGGGATATTCAGATGCATCAGGCTATGGGACAGGGCCTGGGATTCTGTATTTCATAAAAGCTGCGGGTGATTCTTATCAGATCAATTTTAGAAGCACTATGTGGTTGGACAGCGGATGTCTTAAGGGCAAGTGAATTGCGTAGTGAGCTTTTTGTCCCTACACTGAATGTTCTAGTACTTGCTGCATTGTTAGGTTGTCTGTACTTTTTTTTTTGTTTGTGGTCAGTGCACCTGTCTTTTTCTTGGTAAAGATAATCAAGGTTGCTAGAATTCTTTCAAAGGGAAAAATTATC